TAGTAAACTGGAATACATTTTTTCTAATTGCTTCAAACTGACCTTAAAAGATCAAATGACACACTGCTAAACTGAGCAGTATTCGCCTTGGATGGCCCAACAATTGAACAATAATATTCAATTCCTATTTTGCGCAGCTTCGAGATAATTCATCTCTGGAGAGAGAGAGATGCAGCAGCATATTCATAATATGGAATATTAAAATGATCCAAATTGTTATAAAAGTCATTACTAAAATTAATTAACTGAGAATAAATAATAAAAAAAGCCAAATCAGTTTCAACATTATTTTAAAATGAATGCTGGAACCGACTATTAATGACAATCACTAATTTATTAGTGTAATGTGATAATTATTTCCCCTTTGTAATCAGTCTCTAACGGTCAGCTCACATGGAAACGTTTAAAGCACAGTCACTCATTATCTTCTATATAATCTGCATAATCACGAAGTCTGGGTTTGTGATGCTTTCATCAGCAGTACTGAGCTCAGCAACTTACCGTATGTATAGTGCTGCTGTCAACATCCTGACTGTAATGTTAGTTAGCGAAGCCTTGTGCCAATCACCCTCCATTCCTTTAATTAGTGCATTCCACTCGACTTTATAAATTCGCTTCTGACAAAACTCATCTGAGAACCCTTCAGTTCACTCGTACCTGATTTTCAACTGTGGAACATGACAGGACAATTTCACTATTCTCAGCAGATGTCAATTCCTGCTTTGGTAACAATTGAATGCGTTTTTCAATCAGTTTCATTTTAATTTGGACTAAATGACACAAATTCTGATGCGTTGTAAAAAAAATGGGGTAGTTACTGACAATGATTGGGGAGTGACAGAGACTTAGTATTCTGATGTACTGTACCACAAAGAAAGGCGAATAGGTTCATTTGCAGTTATTTCCCCCATGGTGAAGTCAAAATGTCGGCCATGATATACTTTTATATCACATATATCTTTCATTGATTAATGGATTGATGAATTTATGGATTCTGCAAACTAACTTTATGGGGTTCACTGTGGTGTGTATACTCATTGTTACTAAATGTTAATGTTCTCATTGGGGTCTAACTAGCGATAACCGTAAATCGGTTTTGACGTACTAACTGGGTTAAAGAGGAGCACACACTGGCTAATTGCAAAGGCTGAAAGCTGATAAAGGCAAGAGGACAGTTTCCTTTTTAGTCCAGAGTGGAACCAAGTTCACAACCATTCCAGGCAGCTCCCTCCTATTTTATTGAAGAGGAAATAAGAATCTGCTTGGCTGCACAAAGAGAACTTGCGAGACAAATTAAGCTCACAGTTTAAGCCCTGAACAGACTGCAATTAGCCATTTTGCTTTTAAGTAGGTACAAATGGCTTTAGTGCTCTCAGGCTAAGTAGCGAAAATTCAATCAGGACTCCTGCTCTCCTTTCTGTTATCCAGGAACACCGGTCAGAAAGTACACCTAATAATAGTAATAGTTGCATTTGATCCGATCAAATTTTCAAGAGTTACCTAGATTTTTGGTAGATAAGGTTATCAAGGGATATGGGGCAAAGATGGGTAATTGGAGTTGAGGTACAGATCAGCCGTGATCTAATAAAATGGCGGAACAGGCTCAAGGGGCTGAATGGTCTACCCCTGTTCCTATGTTCATAACCGCTTTTAAGCATCTCAAAGCAGTCAGCTTAGACAGGTAGTGTTCCTATGTTCCTATACAGCGCCTTATCACGCTGTCTCAAAGTGCTTCACAGGATCTACTGTAAAGTGTAGTGACTGTGTGTTGTGTGTGTGTGAGAGACATATGTGAATGTCAGACGAGCACAGGATCAGGCTTGGCTGTGGTGGCCTCTTATAGTCCTGCATACACTCACTGTTCAAGGCCACATAAGAAGAGTAGAGCGTGTTTGTGGAGAGCAGTTGGTGCCTGGAGAACACTGTCTGTCTTCAGAAATAACAGGTGAGAAAATGAGAAGAGAAAATTCACACNAAAAAATGGTTCCAGGCACCACAGGAACTTAAACATCCACCCATTTCACAGACGTTTCCAAGTCTTGCTTTAGACATTCACTGAATCATGATTTTCTTAATAGGTCTGAATCAGATCCATCAGCAAACAGCTACCATCATCAGTAATGACTGTCTAGACTGCTGAAAAAGGCTAATGTAATGCATGTGATATCCCTCTACGTCTATATAAATTTTTCTGAGCAAGGGAATGGCTGGTACGTCGCTAAAAATTCATGAGCCGACGAGGATTTTTCACAGAACGTCAAAATGCTGACAGCTTTGCCTGGGGCTTGCCATTCAGCATTTAGCCAGGAAACAATTTCCCTGGGAGAAAGGATGCGTTTTCTCTTTTAATCATTGACATATCAAACGCAATGACACATAGAGATAAATTTTAATTTATTTTAGCTCAACAGCAATTATTTGACACAAGGCAATTCTCCTCTCATCCAGGGATCAAACGGATCAAAGCCATGCAAACTCCAAGTGATATTAGCAATGATTCTCTCTTAAACTAAAACAGTTTATGAAGCAGCCATTTTTGTTTAAAGAGTGAAGGCATTGCTCTATTAACAATAATATAATATTGAATAATGTCTATTCAATGCTTAATAGATATCCAACAGTCCAATCTTCATGAAGCTAATCAGATTAGCTTTAGATTAGACTGGACGCAAAATAGACTTTGTGCTTTAATTCAATAATAGGCTCAACTTGATCCCAGAAAGTTGCTAGTTTAAATCCCACTTCAGGACTTTGAGCTCACAGTCCTATACTGACACTGCAGTGCAGTTCAAGGTGAGTGATGCATTGGCCTCGGTGGTGTCCTTCAGAGGAGATGTTAACATGAGGTCTTGTCTGTCTGTTCAGGTGGAGGTTAAAGATCCCATGGAACTTGTTAAAAAGAGAAGGGAACATCTCCTTGTGTCCTGGCTAACAGTTTCACAGATTAAAGTAGTCCTTCATTTCATAGTTGTTTGTGGAACTGTGCCCACAAATGTACAGTCAATTCACTTTACAGACTATTCTGTGAAGAGCTTTGAAACGTCTAGAAGATGTGAAAAAGCTCTATATCAAATGCAAGGATTATTATTACTATTAACATTGCTGTGTGCAAATTATCTGCCTACAAATACAGAGATTACAACAACAAAATTACATTTGTAAAGCGCCTTTCTCATCAGGCGGATGTCCCAAGGCACTGGACAGACAGAGTTATGGACTACACTGTTGCAGTAAATCCTGTGAATAGCTAAGAGACATTCTGATGGTGTAATAAAGCACTAAATCAACTTCAAGGATTATTAATGTGCTATACTACATTAACATAGTAATCTAGGCATGGAATTCTAATGTAGTAATTACCTCAGCCTTTTATCTATTCCTAAGATTCTTGATTTTCATCAAACATTTAAAGATAAAATAATTTAACATATCACCAAGGAAATGCTGGAAATCCACAGCAGGTCAATCAACATTTGAAGGAGAAAAATACAAGCTGAAACATGTTTCATGTTTATTTGTCAGATCTATAATTGCACTGATGTAGATTTCCTGCATTTCAGTGTTGGATCAGAATTGCAGCTTTTAAATTTGTCCCCTTTTTTAAAAAAATTCCATTTAAATATACAATCCTGGTGGAATAATGTTATATTCCCAGCTATCAGCCTACTAAATACAGTCAATCACATTTTACCTCAAAACAGCACGTTTCAGGAGACTAACCACGTTTGCATAAATCATTTTCAGGCAAGCACTTTCCGGTTTGGTTGAGATTTAATGATTAGATTAGGTTACCGTTCAAAGACTGCAAATTGCTCATTTTTTAATTTGTAGAAATGCTGATCCAAGGGTAGCATTTCCTGGCAAACCGGTCACACGCTGACCACCAGTAAATGGCTGTTTCACCGTGCACTTAATAAGCAATGTAAGATTTATCAATACGGAAAAATATGGAAATGTAGCACACTTAAACTGTTCAAATCAGTTCCACTTTTTAACTCTTGTTTTTGCAAGTACAATAAGGACCTTGTTCAGCTAATGAGACCGAGTGCCTAATCTTATGTATGTACCTGTTTCTCCAAGTTCTCTTTTTAATTAATTCCCTCAAACGTCCAGCATTAATTGACCATACTCAAGGCTTTTTTTATTTCAAGAGGAGATTTTTTTGTTTTTGAGTTTCCTCCATATTTTAAACATCAATTAATTCAGTGAGAAACACTGGAGATTCAGAAGACTTGACATTGAAATTCCAGAAGTACAGTGGGAGACTAATTCTTTATCTCTATATAGCCAAGGCATCAGCAACCCAGTTGAGAGATTCTAGGATATAGTATAGATGAGGGAGAAGGGAATAGAGGAGTATGAGTGAGGAGGTTCATGTGGTGTAAACACACTATCCGTGGACTAGTTAGGCCAAATGACTATATAATTATTGTATGTACCTGTATCATCTATCACCTCAAACTTATTTTTTGACAATGAAAGCAAGTTCACACTAACAGTCACAATTCCTAGAATCATCCATGTTTGGCTTTGTTGAGCTTCCTCCAATCCACACTAACCTTCTGCGAGTGGGATGCCAATCCTGGGCATGAGAATTCAACTCCAGCTTCACAAGTGACCTGCACTGCCTTAGAATAATCAATGTAAACTCACATGCCCTTGAGATGCACCCACGTATTTGATTAGCCTTGTTCGTAACAGCTTCCTATTGACCACAAACTTTCATTAAATGATCGATAATTTAAACCGTTTCTCTTCCAGACTCCTGCTAATGAATTCACCTTTGTGTAAATGTTTTCTATTCCTGTGCGCATTACTTTATACTCAACAACTTCCAAATCTGCCTGCCGTTCCTTGCCCATTTACTTAAATAGGCCACATATTCTTTCCCGCTGTCATCTACCTCCCCTGCATTTGCCACCGTGTCACATTCATCAGCAAATGCTTCTGTTGGCCATAGCCTTTGTGTTGCGTAACAACTGGAACAAGTCAAGACTCACCCTTCTAATCTCACATCCGGCAGAGTTCTATTGAGGGCAATCATGTCACTAGCCATGAGATTGAACTGGTTGATTTTAAACAAGTCCTTCATCTTCTCCTGATCGTCTTTAGGAATGACGACTGCTTTTCCCATCTCACCTGGGCCTTCCTGCGCTCTGGATATAACAGCTAAAAGAGAAAAAGAAATGCAACACTGAATTCAAACATGCACAAGCTTCTTTTTTTAATATTAGTTAAAAATACCAATTATTAAACACACGACGACGACGACAACAACTTGCACAGCGCCCTCCATGCAGGGTAGCGACCTCAGAGCTCTTAGAACAGATATTTATTTTGGTACAGCACACCCACATTCTATTCCAATCGCTTCACCCCCATAAAATGTAAAGCGTATTTTCATCACTACACACGGGTTGTACAATTACACCAATTAAGAAATATATAGCCTCACAGGACACAATTGTCATTTTATTTATTAAAGAACTACCGAAATTTAAAGTGATCCAATGCAGTTGTAGGGAAGTAAATTGAAATGGCCTAATTCAAAATTACTTCATTGACTTTATGGGGCATATAACATAAAACCTTTTGTCTACTTCTAATTAGAATGTGTAATATTACAAACAAGAAACCAATCATTCTGCTTGTGCATATCATCCAACCCCTCATTCTATTTAAATATTTTATGGATGTTAATCCTTTCAGATTTTATGCTTGCATTTTGATATATTGTTTGTGTAATCCCATCTAAATCGAAACATTATCAGATCACTTCTTCCCCCATGGCAAATCAGAACTCCCATGCTGAAATCCATAATGCATTCATTCTGAACAATTATTCTGCAAATATGACTGCAAACACAATTTTGTCCAAAGTGCTTCTGACTATTCGTTCGTCTATTTAGTACAGATGAAAGAAATTCCCTCACAATGGCAATTATCCCCTTGGGAATTACACTGAAATGGTTTAAACATTCATTTCACAGTGCATTTGGAAAAGTATTACGTGAACCTTAGTCGCAGCACTAGATCCGATTTATTATATGGTTCATGCCTTCATTGACCCTCCTTTTCGATCGCACCTTCGACCAACCTCCTACCCCCAGCTCGGGTCCAAATTCCTGACTGTCCAGTGCCTTGGGACGTCCTCCCGACATGAAAGGAGCTGTGTAAATGTAATTTGTTGTTGCACATCAACCACCAAACATTCGACAGACTGCCAAAAGTGCAGGGTAAGTGGGGATATCAACAACAAGAACAAGCATTTATATAGCGTCCTTCGCGCTGGGTACCGTCCCAGGATTCACTCACTGCTGGGGCTCTTGTCTTAACACTACTGAATCTGACGGCAGTGCATTCATGAGCAGTGCTAATGCAGTATAAGCAGTATAAAAGGAAACAGGTGCAAATAGCACCGGCTCGCTCCATGTCCTCTTGTTAAAGAGTTTCTTGGACCCTGTAAATGGACTGCTGCCCAGCTCTTCGTGAACACTAAAGAACAAAACACCCATTTTCTGGGTGTTGTAAATGCGCTAGAATGCCCTGATCACACGTATGCAGTTTATTCAGCCTAGATTCAAAGTAATGTAGAGCAAGAAATATTAATCGGGCTTCCAGTTCCACATCATTCGACTGCCTGGGGGCAAAGCAGTTTAATTTCTAGCAGTGTAAAGGCAGTATCGTTTGGTTATTGTACATTATTGACTTATGGAACTGGATACCAGTATTTATTTTCCAAATATCAATAAAAGCATACAGGTATTTAATATCAATTAATGCCATTCTACCATGAATTGGATTTTTTTTGTTAATGCAATACAACAAAAAAAAGCAATGATTGTCTTATTATATGGAACAGTTAACATAAGACAGCTAAGCAATGCAATCATTTGTGTTATTACACAGAAAGGTAACTGTCCTTTCTACCCCACATCCGTGCCATGACCCGCTCTGCCTTCCCCCACCTCCGCAACATCGCCTGGCTCCACCACTGTCTCACACCGCAGGCCGTCAAGCCCCTCATACATGCATTCATAACATCCAGGCTCGACTTCGCAAACTCCCTGCTTGTCGGCCTCCCCAACTCCTCCCTCCATGGGTTACAGATCATCCAGAACTCTGCAGCCCGTGTCCTCTACCGCATCAGGCTCCGAGACCCTATCACCCCCATCCTCACCCAACTCCACTGGCTTCCCATCACACAGAGGATACAGTTCGAGGTCCTGATCCTCACCTTCAAAACCCTCCATGGTCTTGCTCCCCCCTACTTCTGTGACCTCCTAACCCCCTATCAACCTGCTGCCTCCCTCCTCTCAGCGAGCTCCAGCCTGCTTCAAGTCCCCCAGTCTCGCCCACCCCACCATTGGCAGGCGGACCTTCAGCCACTCTGTCCCCACCATCTGTAACTCCATCCAGTCATTGATTGAGTGCCAAAGTGTATGCAGTTTGTATTTGGGCACTGCTTTCTAAAAGCTAGGGTTGGTGCACAATGCAACAGACGTGGAGCAAAGCAATGGATAAAGATATCATCGATTATTTTATTGACCTTTCCCATCTGGGATCTGGATTAAAATCCGTGCTGGACTGATGGGATGTTCTGTCTGCTGGCTGTAAGAGCCCCTATGTGCAATTAGATTGGGCCAGTTCCTATTATACAGACAGACAGCAAACACTTACATTAATTCGGTTTGTGAATCTCGCCCAGAGAGTTCCCGTAATGTAAAGTATGGGAAATGGAGAATGTCACATGAATAGAGTAAGAGGCAAGATGAGGGAAGGAGAGACTCTAAATTGGGAGCAGAGCTAGGGCCCTTGACTTTGATGGGTTTTATACAGCATTTCCCAATACAGTAAAACATCCTTCAGTTTTTGATGAGATTACAATTGATCTAAAGACGGGATTTGCATATGAAGTGAATTAACAATTCAAGTAAAATCACAGTGACAAGAGTCAGAGATGAAGACTTGCTGGAAATCACTATATCTGCTTCAGAACAATGCACAAATCAGATGTAGAAAAGGCCAATGCTTTGCAACTCTATTGAGCATGATAATACAAAGCAGTAAGCAAGTGTGGATACTTGTCTTTTAAATGTTAAACTGCTCTCCACATGGAGTGTCGCCCGTGCACTTAGATCCTCTTCAGCCGGGAGAGTGATGGAAAACTGCAGACAGTGTAAAATTAATGTGCCGTGGCCACCTGTTTCAAGTCATCGAACAGCATCAGGACTTGTAACTCTAAGACTCTGTAGAGGTTCTTAACTGGAGAACATGGCTTTTTCATTTTACGTGTAGAGCTACTACAGAACAGCTACTGATAGTGAAGCAAACAGCACAATTATTATTGAAGTAGTTCAATTGAATTGCACTGTGTAACCAAAGAAAATGGAAAGCAACCGTGCATCAGAAGGCAAGTCAAATCAGACTCTCCCACAGAGATAAAATAAATACCAAGAAAACATGAGTTGGTCGGAAGCCAAATTCCTACCCCATTAAGAGACTGTCGGCCCAAATAAAGTTATTTTCTGATGAATAGGTAACTAAAGGCTCAAACCAAAGGTATGTCAGGCTCTGCAGTATTAGGTTAAATCTCATGCTGGAACCATGGATTGAATTATTCCCAAACTCTTTCATCAAAGTCTAAAAACTCATCGGATGTTCCCTAAGCAGCCTAATAATTCCATAGGAATCCATGGCCTGAGACAAGGCCATTCAAATCCACACAGCCCTTTTCTTCCAAAGGCCCCAGTATAACCTGCAATGCCATGGACCCTCCTGTACGCATTTAGTCTCCTGAATGAAATAAACAACAGGGACTTGCATTTGTCGAGCGCCTTTTATGCCAGAAGGACGTCAGTCTAACGTTCTAATCTGCATCATTCAAGCAATAAGCAGGTTCATTGGACAGAAGACATATCCACACTTCCCAGTGGGCAGCAATTGCACCACAGGTTATTTGATCAGATGTCTGTTGACCTTCAATCCCATTTTTAGATTGTCATTCATCAGACTCCTTTTCAAAGCAGTCGATCAATATACACGTACGCTTGTGGAAACAGAAAGGAAGCACCTGATCCAAAAGACAGTTTCTTTTTTTCTCTTCACATCGTTATGAGTCACAGATTCCTTCGCGAGAAAAAAAGATAATTTGAAGAAGGACAAATATGAGATACGTGACAGGAGTTTAACCCAATGCTGTACCACGAAACAGCAAAATGTACAACAGACATTTATAGTTCAAACCAACAATAGTAACTTAAAGTACCCACGTCGAGCAGATTTCCTGAGGGAAACAAACTGTCTGACTGTGATTTTCTATCTCATTAGCTGAACTGCAGCTGCCTTTCCGTGGTTGCCCAGCAACACATTTCCAGTGGACCATAAACCTTACAGAAACAGGTAAGTGAGCAAATGTCAAGAGGCCAATTAAACTATTGAACAAATGACTATTGTCCTGCAATACCAGACACCTCAAAGCCTGAGCATCTTAATCATAGAGAACAATAATAATATAGCGTCTTATCACGTCGTTGAGAGATCTCAAAGCACTTTACAGAATATACTGAATTTACTATTTTGTGGGCAAAACGCATGTGACTTCTTTGTCCTTTCCTTCTGTTCCGAGTTCTTATCCCTCCACATAATTGGTTTAATGACACCACAGTTGGGCTGTGCTAACTAACAGCAGAATATGTACAACATTTTGGCCAAAATGTTCTCCCTTCCCTAGGAAAAATGTCTCATCTGTCTTTTTTCACCTTCCCCACAAAGTCCGACTGCCATTGGAAACTTGTGAAGTGGCTAGTGTGAAGCTGTGTCCTCGAGCCCTGAGGTCACGACACTGATAAACCAATGTTCTGAGCCAAAATACTAAACTTAAATTGTCATTTCAGATATTCTATATCCCGTGTGTAATACAAACTGAGTGTAACGGCACAATCTACTGTAAAACTGAAACATCAACAAAATTACATTTGTACAGCGCCTTTCACGTCAGGAGGATGTCCCAAGGAGCTGGACAATCAAACATTTCGGACCCAAGCTGAGGGTCGGGATTGGGGAGGGTGGAGGAGGAGGGAGACCGAAGGCACGGTCAAAGAGGAGGGTCCTGAGGAAGCAAGGGAGAGGGCGAGGTGGAGCGATTGCGGGATGGAGTTCCAGAGGGT